AAAGAGGTTAGAAAAGGTTGAGGAGGAGCATGGAGAAGGCATGGAAGGTCATGGGGAATGAGGGTAGATGTTCCCATGGGATTTAGAGTCAACAGAGAGAGAGGAAGGAGGAGGTTGTTCCATGGAATGGGTTGGGTTGGAAAGACCTTAGAGCCATCTAGTCCCACCCAGGAATACCTCCACCAGCTCAGGTGGCTCCAGGTCCATACAACCTGGCCAAACATGGCCCTGTCACCCTTCCAGAGGGTGTGGAACAGGATCTGAGCATCCCTGAGATGCATTCCTGGTGCCTCCTTGGGATCAAGGAGGAGGGATGGAAGGTCATGGAGAATGAGGATGGATGTCCCCATGGGATTTAGAGTCAACACAGAGAGAGAGAGATAAAGGAGGAAGTTCTTCCATAAAATCATGGAATTAGTTGGGTTGGAAGGACCTTAGAGCCATCTAGTCCCACCCAGGGACATCTCCAACAGACCAGGTGGATCCAGATCCATCCAACCTGGCCAAACTCCCTTTCACAGGCCCTAGGAATGGTGTAGGAATGGTTTGGATTGGAAAAACCTCAAAGCCATCTAGTCCCACCGAGGGACACACCTCCACTAGCCCAGGTGACTCCAGGTCCCATCCAACCTGCTCATTCCATGTCCCTATGGACTGGAGATGCTTGCGGTGGATCAGGGAGAGCATAGATGGGTCCTGATGGGGTCACAGGTGCCACCAAGGTGTTAGCAGCAGAAGAAGCTCATGCAGGTTAGGTGCAGCCTCTGCTCTTGGCCCTCAGCACCTCCAAACCATGTCCCAGCTCCATGTCCTCCCACCTGGCACAGGTGACAGTGTCACTCCTGGAGGTCCCTCACCTTGGAAACCCTCTGGGACTTGGAACAGCACAAGCAATACCTGAACATTGTGGCAGCCCCTAGATGTCACCTCAGGAGGCACCAGCAGGACCACAGTGGGGATGTGGCATCTTCCAGCACTGGAGTCACCACCACATGTCACTGACCACACAGGGGACACAGCCACCAGCACACAGCAAGAGGAGCCAAACCTCCAGCACCTCATGGTTCTGGAGGCTCCAACCCCATCCTTGAGGATCTGACAGATCCCAAGCCAGCAGTGGCTGGATCCATCCAAAGCACACATAGGTTGGAGTAACCCAGGACCTCATCCCATGTCTCCAGGAAGGGATAGGAGCCTCCAGGCCACCACCAAGCTCCAGCCATGTCATGCAGAACTCCTCCGTGGCCAAGCAGAGCTCCTCTATGGCCATGCATCCCAACCTCAGGACCTCATCCCATGTATCCAGGCAGGAACAGAATCCTCCAGGCCACCATCAAGATCCAGCCATGCCATGCAAAGCTCCTCTATGGCCATGCAACTCAACCCTCAGGACCTCAAATCACATCTCCAGGCAGGGACAGTTGTGGCTGTGTCATCCTCCAGGCCACCACCAACCTCCAGCCATGGACTTGCAGAGCTCCTCCATGGCCTTGCAGAGCTCCTCCATGGCCAAGCATCCCAACACCCAGGACCTCATCCCACATTTTCAGGTAGGGATATTTTCCTCCAGGCCACCACCAAGCTCCAGCCATGTCATGCAGAGCTCCTCCATGGCCATGCAGAGCTCCTCCATGGCTACACATCCCAAACCCCACCCTGCTGCCCCTCCTTACCCTCCAGGTCCCCTCCAGGGGCTGAGATCTTGGACATGGCCAGGTAAGCAGTGCCGATGACATCGTTGTGTGTCACACGGTCCCTGTGATGTCACACGTGGCACTGTCACACCAGGGCCCAAGGGGTGGCCCAGGAGGTCCCTCCCAGCCCATGCCAAGCTCACCAGTCAGTCACACGGATCCTCATCTTCTCACACATGGAAGGGAACTGCAAAAAGAGACATAGAGGGAGGAATGGGGAGAGATGATGGGTTGGAGGAGATGTGGAGGACCATGACGACAAAATGCTTACCATGGCTGGTAGAGTCAGGCACTGGTTCCACTGGGGGTTGGCATTCTTCTCCAGAATCCTCGAATAGAGCTGAAGGGGAGGTGGAATGTCCATGGAATTGGGAAGCTTCATGATTCCCAAATTCCATCCCATGGATGACCCCGTAGGGGTCTGGAAACACCTCAGGGCAGGAGGTAGAAGGTGCTACAAGGCTTCTTGGGGATCTCCTTGCCAAGGGACCACCAAAAACATCTTCCTGGCTGCTCTGGAGGGGTCAGGATGATGACCCAAGGCTCTGTGTACTCCTGGGTGGTGTCCCCAGGGGAATAGTTAGGAGTAGAGGAGACTTCCAGGGCCAAGGAGAGGGCTGGGGACATGGGATGGGGACATCAGCTGAGGCCACCTCCCAAGTGTCCCAGACCTGGGAACACAAAGGGGATGCCTCTCTGGTGTCCCATCTCTAGGGCACAGAGGTGTCACCTCCCTGGTGTCACATCCCTGGGGACCTGGAGGGACTGTCTCAAAGCCATCTCAGCCCTGAGGACCTGGAGGAGCCACCTCCTTGGTGTCCCAGCCCTGAGGACACATCCCTGGTGGTGGCCAGTGGACACAGAGAGGAGTCACCTCCATGGTGTCCCATCCCAGAAGACACACAGGAGCCACCTCCCTTGTACCCACCCCTGGGGTCACCTCCTTGGTGCCCCATTCCTGGGGACACAGAGGGGTCACCTCCCTGGTGTCCCATCCTCGGTGACCCAGAGGACCCTTCTCCACTCACCATCTTGCCAGCAAAGGTGACCTCCACAAAGGGATCCACCAGGTTCTTCTTGTTGCTCTCAAAGCCAAAGATCTGCCTGACATTGTCCATCACAGCATCATCCACTGGGAAGCAAAGGAGAAGCTAAAGCTCACGGAAGTGCTCCTGGTTGTCCCTCAACATCCCCATGGAGATGCTCTCCAGGTGAGACAAGCAAGTGGATCAAACCAGTTTGTACCAGTAAGATACTTCTCTCACTGACTGACCAATATCACCTAGGTCTTTGGACCAAGACTATGGATATGTACTTCCCTGTGGCCTTATTCCCACCTGAAATGTGGCAGGTCCAGCAACAAAAAGCTAAGGAAACACCTACTTTGTGGCAGATCTTCGGCCTTGAAGATCTTGAGGCAGAAATTGGCAGCACGCAAAGTAACCCCAGTGGGGCGCAGGAGGTTGGCCTCAATGTCTTCCTTCTCCTCAGAGACCTCCTTTTTTTCCAGCTGCAGGGAGACAGGACAACAGGAACTCATCCAGGCTTGCCAAAAGGTCCTGGAACAAGCAGGAGGATCTCAAAGGAGAGAGAGGTTGTGGCTGCTCCAGCTCTGGAAGTGTCCCAGGCCAGGCTGGACGGAGCTTGGAGCTACTTGGGCTGGTGGGAGGTGTCCCTGGGGGGACTGGATGTGATTTAAGGTCCTTCCAACCGAAGAGTCCAGCCTGGAGAAGCTCCAGGGAGACCTTGGTGCCTCTTGCAGTGCCTAAAGGTCTCCAAGATAATTGTATAGGGACTTGGGACAAGGGATGGAGTGACAAGACAAGGAGGAATGGCTTCCCATAGGAAAATTGGAGATTTGGGTGGGATATTGGGAAGGAATTCCTGGCTATGAGGGTGGTGAAGATGAGAAGCTGTGGCTGCTCCATCCCCAGGAGTGTTCCAGGCCAGGTTGGATGGGGCTTGGAGCAACCTGGGCTAGTGTGAGGTGTCCCAGGGTGGCACTGGATGATCTTTAAGGTCCTTCCAACACAAACTGCAGCACTTTGCCCCCAAACCAGAGGAAGCTGGAGCTGGAGCTTCCCTGGGATAAGCCATGGGGTTTGATGGCCCAGGGAGATGGTTGGCAGGTCGCATCATGAGGTGATACTCACAGGAGCTTCATCTCCAGGTCCCAGCACGAAGACGCTGACCTTCAGATACCCCTTGGCCCCTGCAGAGAAGTCCTCAGGGTCAGAGAGGAGGAGCCACTTCCTGAGGAAAGCATGTTCTGGGGACAAAAGAGATTGAGACCCCTCAGACCTGCAGAGAGGAGGTTCCAAGGATGCTCTTGGGTGGGCTTTGATCATAAAGACCATGTTCCTTTGATATGGAAGAAAACAAGGGAACATTGCAGTTGGAAGAGATTAGGGAACAGGGATGGACCTTTAGAAGATGTTGCCCAGAGAAGCTGTGCCTGCTCCACCCCTGGAAGTGTTCCAGGCCAGGTTGGACAGGGCTTGGAGCCTGGGCTGGTGGGCAGTGTCCCTGGGTGGGACTGGATGGGATTTAAGGTCCTCCCAACCCAAATAATTCAATAATTCTGGAGCCCCTCTGCTCTGGAGCCAGACTGAGAGATGTCCAGTCTGGAGAAGAGAAGGCTGAGACCTTAGTTAGAGCCCCTTCCAGTGCCTAAAGGGGCTCCAAGAGAGCTGGAGAAGGACTTGGGACAAGGGCCTGGAGGGACAGGACAAGGGGGAATGGCTTCCCACTGCCAGAGGGCAGAAATAGATGGGATATTGGGAAGGAATTCCTGGCTGTGAGGGTGGTGAGGCACTGGCACCAGGTTGTCCAGAGCAGCTGTGGCTGCTCCATCCCTAGGAGTGTTCCAAGCCAGGTTGGATGGAGCTTGGAGCAACCTGGACTGGTGGGAGGTGTCCCTGGGTGGGACTGGATGATCTTTAAGGTCCTTCCAACCCAACCCATTCCATGATTCCATGCTGATGGCTACAGGGACAGATCTGGGTTCATCCATGGATGTCAGCTGTGATGTCCATGTGCATCTCCCAAGGTTTTGCCCCAAAAAAAGGTTCCCCAAAGCTCACTTGGCTCTGAGTAAACTGTCTCCACGTCCATCTGGAGAGGACAAGGAAAAGGAAATGCTCAGAGTTCATCCCATAGGATAATGGGGGGAGGGGGGGAAGGAGGGGAAAGGGAGAGGACAACCTCACCCTGAACTCCCCAAGCACCGAGTCCATGCGGAATGACCTAGAATCCACGACCTGAGGAGAGGAAAGTGAGGAAAAATGAGTCAAATCTATCTCAGATCTTTACAGGATGGAGGATCTCAGATGGGAACAGGGAGAGGACAGGGGGACAACCCCCAGGTGGTCTCAGGACCACCTGGAGCTCACCGTGAGGAAGATTGGAGCATCAAACAGCTCTGATGGTGACTCGAAGACATTGAAGAAGAAGGTCTGAGGGAACAAGGGGTGAAGGTGCAGCTTGGGGACACCACCAGGGCATGGTCACACCTCTCAACCTCCCCCAGGTCCATGGATGGAGCCTCTTCCCACCAGGACAAGCCACCAGTTGCTCTGGGACACACACATCACCATGAAGGTGACCAGGATGAGCCCTGGGTGAAGGCAGGAGATGCTGGACCTGCTGAAGGACTCGCTGTGGCTTCCTCCCTTGCTGTCCCCACAGCCACAACCCAGACTTTGGCCTTTTCCAGGGGTTTTGTTCCTCAGGAACCCAAGCTGAACCTCTCCTGAAGGGACTATGGACCTCCTGACCTCACCTCATCAAAGCAGGGGCTGTTGCCTTTGCGGATCCGTGTTCTCTTGGTCTGTCCTGCAGCTGTCACCTTCACCACGGGCCTGATGTTGACCCCAGGAAGCTGCCGAGCCTCAATCACCCTCACTCTGATCTGGAATGGGACATAAGACAGGGCAGGAGGTCACCAGATCCATCCCACCTCAGGGGACACCTCTCATGGGTCACCAGGGCCATTCCACCTCAGGGGACACCTCTCAGATGATGAACCCTCCAAGTTGAAGATGTTCCATGGAGAAACTCATCCCTACCAGCTATGTCCCACCTGGAAGTCCTATGATTGGGACACTTGGGCTATCCCAGGGGTTGGACACCTCAGGGGATACCTCTCATGGGTCACCAGGGCCATTCCACCTCAGTGGACACCTCTCAGGTGATGAACCCCTATATAGGGACAAGCTGAAGAGGTTCCATGGGAGAAGCTCATCCCACCAACCATGTCCCACCTGGAAGTCTGTGGCTTATGTCACCAGGACCATCCCACTTCAGGAGACACCTCTAAGGTGATGAACCCCCAAGCTGGAGATGTTCCATGGAGCAACTCATCCCTACCAGCCATGTCCCACCAGGAAGTCCTGTGTGACTTGGGTAACCAGGACCATCTCACCAACCATGTCCCACCTGGAAATCCTGTGGCTTGTTGGCCAAAGGCTTTTTAGTTGAGGTCCTCCTCCTCTTCCCCCCATGCAGGTGGGTCAAGGAGGGCCTCTGGGGCATCTGAGGTGGTTCAACCCCTGGTGGCCCCGAGGAGGATGAAGGCTCCGTCTCGTCCCCTGGCACCACCTGGTCCTCCATGTCCTCCTGTCCGGATGGCTCTGGAGAAGGAAGAGGAGGTTGGGAAGGGTGTGGTGGCCACCAAAGTGAGGGACAGAACCCCCCCAAGGATATCTGAGGGGGGTTTGGTTACCAGTGCCCATGTCCAGGTCAGCAGCAGGGGGTGGTGGCTCCGGGGGGGCCATGGGGACACATGGGGGGACAGCGCCCGGTGGGGGGATGTAGGACACCTGCAGCAGCAGTAAGGCCTGGAACACAGGAGAGACATCAGCAGGCACTGGGAAGGATGTGGTGTAGGCTGGGCAAAACTGGGAGAGAAACTGGGAGGGACATTGCTCACACTGGTCCCAAACTGGGAGGGACATTGCTCACACTCCCCACTCACCCAAGGCTCACACCGGTCCCAAACTTGTTCCCCACCCCGCAGTCCCCCATGGCTCACACTGGTCCTAAACTGGTCACTCTGTGGCCTGTACTAGTCCCAAACTGGAAGTCCCAGCCCCACATCCAGTCCCCACTCACCCATGACTCATACCAGTCTCAAACTGGTCTCACTCACACCAGTCTCCAACTGGTCTCAAACTGATCCCAAACTGGTCCCCTCAGTCCCACACTCACTCATGGCTCACACCAGTCCCTAACTGATCCCCAACTGGTCCCCTCAGTCCCATACACCCGTGACCCACACTGGTCCCAAACTGGTTCCAAACTGGCCCCACTCACCCATGGCTCCCACCAATGGGTCCAAAACTGGCCCCACTCCCCAATGGCTCCCACCAGTCCCAAACTGATCCCACTCACCAACAGTTCCCACCAGTCCCAAACTGGTCCCACTCACCCAAGGCTCCCACCAGTCCCAAAATTGTCCCACTCACCAACTGTTCCCACCAGTCCCAAATTGGTCCCAAACTGGTCCCACTCACCCATGGCTCCTACCAGTCCCAAACTGGTCCCATACTGGTCCCACTCACCCGAAACTGGTCCCAAACTGGTCCCACTCACCCATGGCTCCCACCAGTCCCAAACTGGTCCCACTCACCCAAGGCTCCCACCAGTCCCAAACTGGTCCCAAACTGGTCCCACTCACCCATGGCTCCCACCAGTCCCAAACTGGTCCCACTCACCCAAGGCTCCCACCAGTCCCAAACTGGTCCCAAACTGGTCCCACTCACCCATGGCTCCCACCAGTCCCAAACTGGTCCCACTCACCCAAGGCTCCCACCAGTCCCAAACTGGTCCCAAACTGGTCCCACTCACCCATGGCTCCCACCAGTCCCAAACTGGTCCCACTCACCCAAGGCTCCCACCAGTCCCAAACTGGTCCCAAACTGGTCCCACTCACCCATGGCTCCCACCAGTCCCAAACTGGTCCCACTCACCCAAGGCTCCCACCAGTCCCAAACTGGTCCCAAACTGGTCCCACTCACCCATGGCTCCCACCAGTCCCAAACTGGTCCCACTCACCCAAGGCTCCCACCAGTCCCAAACTGGTCCCAAACTGGTCCCACTCACCCATGGCTCCCACCAGTCCCAAACTGGTCCCACTCACCCAAGGCTCCCACCAGTCCCAAACTGGTCCCAAACTGGTCCCACTCACCCATGGCTCCCACCAGTCCCAAACTGGTCCCACTCATCAAAGGTTCCCACCACCCCCTGGCCCACGCTGCCCATCGCAGTCCTGGATGGCCCCAGCAGGACCCCCAGGTGGCCAAGACCCTCACCCCGGTGCTGTGGCCGCGGGCATCGAGCAGGGGCAGGTTGAAGGTGGCTGCGAGTGCTGGGGCACACAGCACCTCGCGCAGGGGCACGTGAGCCTCGCCCAGGAACCTGCCGGACAACAAGTGTCAGAGCCAGATCCACCACCCTCCCAAACCTGGGACAGCGTGGAGCACACATGGAGCATACATGGAGCTGGGCCAAGGCAGGGAGAACATCAGCAGAGCTGGGAATGTCCAGCCTGGAGAAGAGAAGGCTCCAGGGAGAACTTAGAGCACCTTCCAATGCCTAAAGGAGCTCCAAGAGAGCTGGAAAGGGACTTGGGGCAAGGGATGGAGGGACAGGACAATGGAAAATGGCTTCTCACTGCCAGAGGGCAGGATAGGTGGGATATTGGGAAGAAATTCCTGGCTGTGAGGGTGGTGAGGCACTGGCACAGGTTGCCCAGAGCACCTGTGGCTGCTTCATCCCTGGAAGTGTTCCAGGCCAGGTTGGATGGAGCTTGGAGTCACCTGGGCTGGTGGGAGGTGTCCCTGGATGGGACTGGGTGGGATTTAAGGTCCTTCCAACCCAAACCATTCCATGATTCTGGAGCCCCTCTGCCATGGGACAGGCTGGGAGAGCTGGGAATGCCCAGCCTGGAGAAGGGAAGGCTCCAGGGAGATCTCAGAGCCCCTTCCAGTGCCTAAAGGGGCTCCAAGAGAGCTGACTTGGGACAAGGCATGGAGTGACAGGACACAGGAAATGGCTTCCCACCGGAAAAGTAGAGATTTGGGTGGGATATTGGGAAGGAATTCCTGGCTGTAAGGGTGGTGAGGGGCTGGGATGGAATTCCCAGAGCAGCTGTGGCTGCTCCATCCCTGGCAGTGGTCCAGGCCAGGTTAGATAGGCCTTGGAGCAACCTGGGTTGGTGGGAGG